GGAATGTAATATTTTAGTTGCAACATTAACAAAGTCAAAGACAGCCTATAAAATGAACATTTGTCATTTAACACTATTTACACTGTAGTCTACGTAAAAGACGTCACCTTCTTGGACTAAAACTAATTTAACTGATTATTGTATTTCAATTAAGTTACCTGGAACTTTTCTTGCCTATACTCGTTCATATCAGAGTTAATCCACAACTTAAAAGCTTTTAAAGGTGTCGGTCAACGTATTGGTTAAAGTTAATTACTTCACACATGTGACCAGCTCTTTTTAAAACATGTATTTTTTTACATTTAAATTTTCGGTATTTGATGGATAGCGACAGACAATGGCCGTAGGCCTATAATTGTGACATGCGCGCAAACATTAGGATACTTCGGTTTCTATACTGACAAGTACATACACACATGTAAAACAAACTACTGAGCAAAGTTAACATGGAGAACATTGTTTAGAAAACAGGAATATTACTACGATTAACAAATGCACACAAAAGTCACTGATTCCATTTTAATGATTAGGCTATTATTTGACCCTGTCCCTAGTTATGGTGATGTGTTTTGACATAACCAGTGTTTTGTACATTTTTGAAAATGTACAATGGCTATTTTTAGACCCTTATAGTAAGACATTTATAAACAAACCCTTGCGGACTTTCTTACATTAACCAGGAGTTTCATAAACTCAAATAATTCCAAATTGCAATGCTATGGTCTTGTGCGTCATTTTTGTAAATTTGTATGTGATATTTTATGTACAGCAATATTTTAAATCTTAGATATTGGGTTTTATGACTGTTACTCTATGTTTCTAAATTCCAAGAGGAAGGGGGGCTTAAGCTGACATGAGGACCGTAATTTGGAAAGTCATTACAACATCCTCCGAGGTCTGAGTGACCACTCTTGGATAAAAATGGTCCCGGAGATGTCTTGGTTGTTGCGCATTCCTCTTGACACGGACCAAAACTTGTGGCAAACGGTATTTGGTGAGAGTAAAAGTAACTGGCTTGTCCGGAGATCATGTTAAAAGAACAGGGTTCCGACAGCGGCAGGGTACATGTAGGCATGGATGTGGAGAAAGCGGTGCAGGCAGTGCCAAGCTGATGGCGACGGGATGGCGCGCAACTGACTCCGATGTATGACATTTCCTGGTGCGTCTGAACGAACCGATCGGCGTCTGCAGGACTAAACCGGGACTGTTGTGAAACAACTGATGCGGCATGATTGGAAAAGCGGGGGTGAGCGCTCAGGTAAGTTCCTGTGCCAATATGAGTACGCACTGGTGTTTGGAGAGGCAGAAACGGGACCACCGGCCAGTAAAACGAACTCGCTGCGGCCAAGGTCACGCTGGTTGTAGTGCTGGAAGACATCAGACGACCACCTCCTCTTTTTAGTGCAAGCTTGGCCCTGGAGCCAGATGTGACCCTGCGCCGGAGTTTCCCTGATGTGCCACCTATGAAGACGTCCTCACTGCAGGGGTCCAGCATCCAGTAGTTACCTTTTCCTGGGTCATCATAGTGGCGCGGCACTTTAACAAAACACTTATTCAGACTCAGGTTGTGCCTGATTGAATTTTGCCATCCTTGTCTGTTCTGTCTGTAGTATGGAAAGTTCTCCATAATAAACTCATAGATGCCGTTGAGTGTAAGCCGGCGACCCGGGCTCTGGCGGATCGCCATCATAATGAGGGCGTTGTAACTGAAAGGAGGTTTTTCAGGTTTAAAGCTTTCTTCTACTCCCCCGCTTTTCTTTGGCTCTCCGCTATTTCCTTCTTGTTTTCCATTTGCAATCACCGGTTTGGTGCCTAAAGAAGTCCACTGTCTTGAGTTTCCGGAGTTTTTTTCACTGTCAAAGTTTTCCTCTTGACTGGATTTCCCTGGATTCGCGGAGCGCGGTTTCTGAGAGGGAGACTCCTGGTTACTCATCACCCCCTCTCGTTTCCGCAACAGGTTGCTGATGCTGAATGAGGACTTGTGAAAAAATCGCTCCGAAGCTTTCAAATCCCCCATCCTAAAAGTTAAAATCCCCCCAAAACCTGCCCGGTGTTCAGAGCCCAGCGCGTAACTGAACCCACTGAGAGGAAAGATGCGCTGATTGGAGCCAGGACGCACTGGCCAGAGAGCGTGACAAGTGCGCATGATCACAGCAGCTCGGGACTCGTTACCAACAAAAAGTAGCGCATTACTGTGCACTGAATAAAAAAAATGAAACATTTGGAGGCGTAATTTGTGCATGTTCTAGACTGGACTGGATCCTGGAATAGAACAAATATACCCTAGTATTTATAGCATCGGCTATTTGTAAGAAAATTAATAGGTTTATCTCGATCATGTCACATCAGTAAGAAGAACACAATGCAACTCAAAATATTTTATTTGCATTACCACTATTAAAAAACTATAGTAGCCTAAATAATTTTTCGAAGGTTACAGTCGTCATACCAAACACACAGGTCCCACCCAAACCGTGCCAAGAGGCAATTGAGCCCGGGAAGATATGAGTATGCTGTCAATCTATCTGACTGATCGGTGAACTCTCTGGTTCAATTATTAGGCCTATACTTCCTGACACCTGAAACTCAACCGTCTTGCATGCGCCCTGCCCTCTGGGGCTGGGCTCATCTTTCTTCTCCGTTTCCCCCAGTTTCCCTCTGAGCACCCTTGTTGACAATTTGACAGCAGAAGCAGCAGAAGAAGAAGTAAGATAAGCAGTCTAGGCGTTGTAACCTGAAACGAACTTGTTGGTAAAACAAGTCTTAATATAGTGAACATGATATGTTGGGAGATTTTTTTTTAAATCCCTTGATTTCAAAATAAAAATCAAAGCGCATCACTAATGAGGCAGGAAACTGTATATCAAAATGCACAGGTCCTCTTAATGCCATGTTGTTTTTGGTCATTTGATCAAAGTGGAATTTGTTTGGGAACACAATCATTTAAAACCACTTAAGTATTCCATAAAATATCATACTTAGATTCCTAAACTGACAAAAGTTAGAGAGCTTCTCTGTCTCAGCTAAGGTTTTAAAATTAGACATCTTACAGACAATGCTGCTTTGGTGTTTCTAATACTCTTTACTAGGGCTTTCCCAGGAGACAAGGATTCATCACATCAGATGTGAATGAAGCATGTTCAGACATTTATTGTCTTGCACAGGAAACAGAAATAAAGTTAAACAATCTAATTCTCAATACCACACTTAATGGCACTACAGTACAAATAGACACACAGGTGTTACTGTCAAGAATACAACACTGTGTCACTGCAGTCCGTTTCTCATAAAGGATTCAGTCAGCAGAGCACAAAACATGGCCCAGGTGGGAGTTAAGTCAGAGTTTGATGTTACATTTGACAGCTTTGTTTTAACAGTCACTTCACACTTTTGTATTATGTAGATATCTGATGACCTTCATTGTAAGACCCACTGTTCGATGGCCTGTACGAGCCCTGTTCTAAATTTATTTGCACTTGTAGGTTTTGAAAACCCTTTTCCTTATTATGTTGTAGCTCAATGTCTTTACTCCACTTCCACATCCATTTATAGCACTTTCAGGTGTCCTGCTATGCATACAAATGCCTGAAAAGAGCAAACATACAGGCCATTAACATGTTAGAGGTAGTGATGTTTTCAGCAGCTTGCTACACCAAAGACAAAAAAGAAAAAAGTCAGTGATGTAAAATCTTTTCATACTAAAAAGTGATCAGTGAAAAAAAAAATCTGATAATCAATTTGATAGGGGCCATAATCACTTGTTAGTAATGTTTCTAGTGCCGTAGAAAGCGCACATTAGTCTCAACACCCGTAATCCTCTCAAGTCTCTGTTCAATATTTGATTTCATGCTTGTTGTTTAGAATGACTTTACAGTAGCACCCTAACAACAACACAACCCTTTCATATATATATATATGTAGATACGTCTAACCATTTATTGCACTGACTCAGCTAACTAAAACTGAAGGACAAAAGAATGTACTGAAATCAAACATAAGACCCATATGGTGACCATATGCTGTAATGAAATGCAAATGAAACATGTTAAAACTGGACAGGGATGGCCTATATGTCTCATCCCTGTGACGGCTCCTTCTGCTGCAAGAGAAATTCCTGACAAGCTGTGAAACCTGTAGGGCTTCTTTGTTACAACATACATGCAAATCTCCCCTTGGCTAAGGAGAGACATAATAGAAATGTGAAAAGAAGAGAGATTTAATGTTTTATCTATAAAGTTCTTCATCCTGCCACCTTGGTAATTCAGCTTAGTTTAGTTTCCCTCAGTGTTGGCAGTGCAGCATAAAGCTTTTCTCCTGGACACTGTGTGTCTCCCAGGTCTCTGTGTCCTAACAGGACAAACTCGGGGTGTAAAAAGCCCTGGGAAACTCCAGACTGCAGCAGCTGTTTAACTGAGGAAATCGCCTCTTTGCTTGGTGTGTCATCTGAAATCAAAAGTAGCAGTATTATCATTATAAAGTAGGCTATAATGTATCAAGAACAGGCATATCAATGGGTTCACAAGGCCATCCTGTAGTGCTTATGGAAACACTGTTATGGTTTTTATGCTCTTCTGTAGACATAACTGCTATTTTTGTCACAATGGGAAAAGTAAATATGCGTGCTTACCATTGAAGTTGCCCATGAGGGCAATCCCCAATGAGTCATAATTGTTGCCTTTGGTATGTGCCCCTACCACGCCCCAGCCACGGCCCTCGAACACGATACCGTCTCCTCCGACAAGAAAACTGAAACATACAGCGTGACTGATTATCTGATAGCACCGAACTCAAGAGAAGAGATACATATTAGACCACTTATTACATACAACTGCATTAAAGCTTCAAACAGTAAATACAATAGAGCCACTCACTTATATCCAATATCATCAAAGCCTCTTTCTTTCATATGCATTCTCTGAATGCTGACGAGGTGGTTCTTACACTCTGCCAGGCCTTTGTAGCTTTGTAAGGCGGTGTGGTGTATGACAACTCTCTGGGCAGAGCCTTTCAGTATCGCCCTCTGTTGAGGGGCAGCTGCCCCCCATTGCAGCCTTGAAACAATGTTAACTGAAAACCAGTTGGGAACACAATCAAAAGTTAGCTTATGCCATAATTGAAAATTAGCAGCTATCATTGCAACAAGATCTCAAAGTTTAGTACAAGATTTGCCGTCATACCTTTTTGTTCCATAAGTGTGTGCACAGTTGCCTGGTTGTGATGACTGACCAGCAGCAGACTGTGCAGCTGCCTTATCAGAGAACCTGTTTAAGGAGGTGTGGTCTTGGGAAGTACACATTACGTCCTTTGTCGTTGTAGATCACTTTAATGAGCACATTATTTGCCAACTGATCAAGCAGGAGGAAAAGGAGGAAGTTGAACCAACACTCTTAATACACCACAGAACTGGATAAAAATCTGTATTCTTTTGACACCCGCTCACACATGACCGCTTTATGATGTTGAAAGTCATGGGAGTTCAAAGAGGAAATCAGTACTATCTATTTTGCAATATCAGTAGCATGTATGATTTTACAGTATATGGCATGAAGAAGTGGTAGAACCCTGATTTATGTAATATACGTCTGTACCCGTGTTTATGTGTCATGTAACACTCAGAGACATTTGGAACAATTGATTCTTTTAATCTAAGAAAACACATTTGAAAATCACAAATGTTTAAAAAAAAATACAACCTGTAATTGACAGTATAATGCAGTTTTATGAATCAGGCACCAATAAAACAGGCTCTCTATCCCTCTGGTGCTGTACCTTTGCAAAATTCCCTGTTGCAGGACTAATAAAGGTTGATCTTACCTTAACACTTAGTGGGTCCTACTGGTATCTAAATGCGGATAAGGTGGAAGAAAACAAAATTACAAGGAACAAGGGAGTACTAGTTTGGCATGTTAGGGGAAAGGGCAAACAAATCATACTTTTAGTAGTAGTAGTTTTTGTGAGTAGTGCATACCAAACTACTCCTGAGTAAAATGGCCACTTGTTAATGTTTTCTTCCACTGTGCCTACATTTAAGTACCAGTAGGAAGTACTAAGTATGTTATTGGAACCTGATTAATACAAAAACATTACATTATAATTCACAGGTTGTATTATAATGTGTTACCAAAACTATTATATAAATCTACATTATATTCACAAGATGGTGTCTCACAACCTGTAAGCCACGGTACATTTCAGGGCAGTACTGCCGTTAGACAACAAACTGCACAGTAATGCATTTTATTATATTCACAGCTACCAGTTTGTGTGTGCAGGTTTGTGACAGGTATGGTAGGAGTAAAAAAAACAACAAAGAACCGCTTGAGCAGCAGCTAGGGATATTTCTGTGAACAGCATGTAGATGACAATGATAGCCCTCTTCATCACCAGTTTTACTCTGTCCATCGATGTCCACAATGAGGAGCCGTGCAGACGTAGTACAGTCTCATAGCATCCTGTCAGGAAACAAGATGTTTTGATCACACATTTTATCTACTGCTGTTTATGGAGAGTAGTGTAGATTTTGTCTTTATTGGTCTGTCTTGCCCAGTCTTGTCAGGATATGTTTGCATGAAAGCAGACAGTTGCGTACTACTGTTATTGAGCAAAAAATGGCATGCCATGGACCACAGAAAGCTCTAGGCCAAGACATATAGCAGCTATATAAAGACTAAAGGTCATGCATTTATTCACATATAAATGATCATTACCTCTGCCTTCATACTGTGAGACTGGAAGAACACTGCCTCCTTGTGACCACATCTGACAAGAGACAATGCATGCACGGTCATTAGAAAGTACATTATTGCAAAGAACTGCTCAATGTCACTGTGTCCAAAGACTATGGTGTGCTCTAGGCATAAAATGCTGGTGTCACCATGACATTCTTCAAATGTATATATAAAAACTAATAAACAAAAAATTAAGTTTAAGTTCCAAACTGCTTGTGCTCCTCCATGTAAGACTGCCTGAAGGTTGCTTTTTATACAGTATATATTTGACAATCAGTTACAGATTCTGTAAATCCCCACACTAAGATAATAAACCGATTAATGATACAATGAGTTTACTTAAATGTGACCACGGCTCTGTGATTGAGCAGAAGAAAGCTCTCTCTGGCAAAATGTAACTACATAAAAATGACGAAGGGGTCAAGACTTGACGATACGAAAATCATATGATGACGTCTGTGTAAAGTCAGCAAAAGGTGTAATACTCTAACAGCTATGATGACAGTGTGGTCATCATATATATTCAACAAGCCTATGCTTAGTTTGCATTTACACCAATAAACCTGATACACAATGTTATGCAGTGATATCACTGGGGGCTCAACATCTTGCGCAAGGACACTTCAACCTGTGGACTGGAGAAGCAGGGGATCGAACCACCAACCCTAGAGTTAGTGAATGACCCGCTCTACCTCCTGAGCCACAGCCCAAACACCCATACTATTTTGTTAATTTAAAATCTGACAGTTGCCGACTTAGTTGGTTAGCAAACCTGGTCCAAAGGGAGAAACACTACACTGTATTTACCTATGTAATTGTTGGACCATCAGTTTTCTTAAGATTCAGACTGTGTGTGCATGAGAGAGAGAGAGAAAGAGAATGTGAATAATAATAAAAAATGTTCTAATGCCTTGTTTATAGTGAGCATGCAGCAGACAAATCCAGTAAGCTACTGGTACCTTGTCATGATTTACAAAAAAGTGCATAGTTCTGCAAATTTTATTTATGATTTTCAAAATAAAATAATTATTTCAGTTCATGTATCAGTACTTTCTGAACATTTCCAGGCCATTTTAACACAATACAGTGATAACCGTGGTCATTTTGGTCACTCGTGATAAAAAATGTTTCACAGTTTCATCCCTATATGGCTGAGGTTGTAAAACTTACTTGGGACAGGGGTGGTCCTCTGTCCTTGGTAGCGTTGGATCCTGAGATACATCAGCAATGATTTGTGTCAGTTCACTGGAGAAAGAACAAAGTGAAATGGTGAAGAAGTGACCAAAACAGCCCTCAAGAGACTGCATATGCAGTGGTGGCACACTGGAAAGGCTTTGCTTTATGTGCAATCAATCAATATTTTCTTTACACTATCATAATAACAGTAAGTGCAGTTAAACCCAAGAAACCAACTGTAAAGATTTTTTTCAATTAAATTTTAGGACTGTTGGACACATGTAAATCCATCACTGCACAGTGGAGTCAATGCATTTAACTTTGTCACTTGCTTCTGGTCAATTATTTTTATTTATTCAAAGTTCACCAGAGGTTGCACAACAAGCAGGTCACATATTAAAGCAGAGATGAAACAGCAGTCAAAACAGCACAAAGATATACTAGTCAAAATGCAAGTAAATCATCATCTTGGTAATATATGTGGCACTACAGTTTCTTTTACTTACTCAACCTCATGGGTAATCTTATTGACGTAGATGCAGCTGTTGTCTGCCTCTTGTTGGTAATCACAATTCCTGCACTGTGGATTAGGATAATTTCAAGTTCAATATAAAAACTGGGCATTCAGCACAATTATTACAGGCACACAATGTAAATGTCAGTACACAGCCTTCCTGCATTACATCAAGCTATCCTGTAAGGTCTTCTTTGTCTGAAATATTACAGACAGAGGTTTTATAGTTTTATATGTAACCAAATATAAGTTTGGGAGTGACTGTCATCACTAAGAGTCATTGCATTGCGCACAAAATCCAAACGGATATACTGTTTAAACATTTTCAAAGGCATTTAACAACGTACGCAACCTCTACATATAGGTTTGGCTAGTTCCTAGACAAATTAAACCACTAGGTTTAAGTGCTACGATTACCGTGACAAAAAGGGACTCGCTGAGTGAATTTGTAAACTTCGGTAGTAGTCATCATAGCTCATACTCCACAGGCTACATTGGCACCACACTAGCGTTAGCCTACAGCTGTTAGCTTTCAACCAGACACTTACCGCATAAAGCAGGACACGGTTCTCCTTGTCTTCTTTAGGGTACAACATATTGTTACTGAAAAACAGAGCCAGAGCGCGTAATAGGTTTTGGTTCCATTTAGCATAATTAATATTGAGACAATGTTACGTTAAGGTGCATGCAAGTTAGCTTTAACATGTAACGTTAGCTAACAAGTTAACTTATTTAACCTCAATTCGGCTTCATACTCACCATTCTTGACAAAATCGTATCCCAACAAATCCTGGCTCGTAGGTTCCGCCGTCTAAATCCATGAGAGAAACTACTCAATAACGACAAACCTAACTAATACGGTAAGTATAACGCTGCTTCACTTTCTAAAGCAGCTAACGCGCATGCTATCGCGGCCAGTTTGAAAACAGACCATCTGCGCATGCGTATATTGTTGACTGTGTTATGATTTCAGAAACAGCGCCATCTAGGTGTTGAAAGACCAAAACGTTTGTTACATACATGTCTGCGTTAAAGTTACAGTATATAATACTATTGTTGGCATGCAGCAAATGAGTTCACTTCAGTCGAACATTGCATTTAATGACGCAAAACACAAAATTTTGGGTTACTTTTTCTGTCATGAAACAACATATATAAAACACCGTTTCCTCATATTAACCAAGAAAACACTGACAAAAACATACACCTAAGTAATTATTCATGTAACAAACCTCACCTAATAATTATTTAGTGATATTGGCTCATTGTGGTAATTTAGCTTGAATAGCATTTTTTTACAAGGCAATTATACACACAAACCCCAGCAAAGCCATTATACAGATAATTGGCCACTTGGCTACATTTATCAGACAAAAAACTGAGAGAGATAAACCACTTTCTCACAATTTTTAATGTAGCACACTGTTGATGCTCATTCACACACATATGCCACACACATATGCACAGTGCAGTATATACAGCATAGGCCTACATTTATTATTTATTATACTATAAAGTTCATTTTAAATGGTACAAAATTGGAAGTACACTGTAAACCCGAACAGTATATCTTAATAAATGATTCAAGTTAACATAACTTAATCTTCAAGAAAAGTTGTTTTCACACAATCCAATGAAGTTAACCTAACTCAAAAATAAATTGTTGAAGGAATAACTCGTTTGTTTTGAGTGTATTTAAATTTTTGGGACATTTTAAGTACTGATCATATATTGCTGTTAGTTGCATGCACTTAATTTCTCTCAATTCGCTTCAATCCTGACCTCCTGGCATGCGCAGTACAGCCCTTAGGGCCACATGCACACGGCACAGGACGCACCCGGTTTGGACCAGTCTGCACACATGGTAAAAAAAAGGACGTCGTGGGATGCTGCTTGTTCCTGACAAGATTTAACACTATTTTTTTTCCTTGGAAAAAGTGACGGTCGTCTTCCAAACTAGGTATGCTGTTTACCATTTACTAGCTAGCCAGCTAGCTCACCACACACCAGCTTTAAAAGTCATATACTCTTTTACACACGTTCTCTTATGGTTTCCTACGGTGGCCGACACGGTCACAACACATGCAAAAGACACAACACATGCAAGACACATACGCGGTATTGAACAAAACACATGCAAACGGAAAACGCTGCATTAACCAAAAAAACACATGCAAGACAGAAACGCGGCATTAAACAAAACACATGCAAAAGGAAAACGCTGCATAAACCAAAAAACACATGCAAAAGGAAAACGCTGCATAAACCAAAAAACACATGCAAAAGGAAAACGCTGCATTAAC